CTACTGACAAGTCATTCATTCATTTTACGTGACATACATGATGCATTGTCATGTATTAGCAAGTTATTACATCGTTTAGCATGTCATAGACGACGTGTAGTCAGGTATTAGTCAGGTTANTATCTGACTTTATCTNGTGTAGACAACCCCTCGTGAGGTATCAGTAAGCTATGACCTCGTTCTACCTGACGTAAATGATGTATTCTCAGGCAAGAGCAAGCTATGACCTCGTTCTACCTGACATAGATGACGTATCGTCAGGTAAAGGCGAGTTATTACTTCAGTTTACCTGACGTTGATGATGTATTGTCAGGTAGTGGCCAGTTAGGACCTCGTCCTACCTAACATAGATGAGGTATTGGTAGATAATAGTATGTCATCAGCTTATTAGACCAGGCCTAAATGGTGTAGAGCCAAGTCTGATATTTTAACCAGCACTAACCGAGGTCTACCAAGTAGTGAATTTATTTTTCCCAACAATTTGCCCCCCACTCTTTAATTTCTTATTTAGAACTTGAAGAGTAGTTAATTTAGAACTTGGTGTGGTGGACTTCGTCTGGCGACGTATCGCTTAGACTTTACAAATTGCCTTTTCAGGTTTATGTATGTATACATACCCTTTGATGTGTAGAGACGTCTAGATCTTCGATCTTTCCTGACCCGGAAACATCCAGATCCACATGATACCTTGTGGAAAAATGAACGCAAGTAGAGAAATAAATACTACATCCTTTATTTCTCTTGTAGACTCAACGCCTATTTTTTTATCTAGAGAGGTCCATAACCATGTAATACCACGCTGGATTTTACCTCTATTATTTTCTTTATGAGCTTGTAGCCCACTTGCTCACGTGTTTGTGACAAGATTTTGTTTCAACATCCGGTGCTTACTCACAACAGGTCCGTATTTCCCAACCTCGTGGTTATTCGGCACTCTGTCTTCTTACACCTCTTACGCGTTGTCTATAATTCTCTTTCTTTCTCTTTTTTTCTCTTATGAGAAATTGAGAAATATCATATGTGTGAATTTCACCTCGTTTCGCAGGCAAAGTGTGCTCGTAGTACTACGTAGGGGGTCATTTCCTCACTATTTCGCAGTTGATTCCACCAGAGCTCCTTTCATAGGTGAGTTTGCAAGAATTTTGCTTTCTCACTGTTCGAGTTAAATACTATGGCCGAGAGTTCTTGTCGAGTGACAAGTCCATTTGAGGTTAATTCGGACTCAAGTGATGTTGGAAATGTTTATGAGATTGAGCGCGGAGAGGAATATGACCTCTTGTATATGAGGTTGAGTCATCTCCCACTGGTTTTAGAGGTGTTTCTGGCGATGTTCAGATGTTGTCAAAATATCATGACTTTGACCTCTTGGACCAGCCGACGCTCTGCCTCCCATCTCCCACTTGTTATGGTTCCAGTCTCCGCGAAGTAGACATCAACAGGATTAAGAATGCTTACAACATTTCTAAATCAGTAGACTTGATGATTCCTTTGGAGGATGAAGGACCTGACTGCAACAGACCTTATGAGGTTGTAGTTTACGAAGCTTTCTTTGCACTAGGTTTACGCGACTCGATGCCTTCCTTAGTTGCAAAGATGGCGAATTTCATTGGTATTTCCCCTGGCCAACTTAACCCACATGCTTGGAGGATATTAATCGCCATCCAAGTATTTAATGAGATTTATTCTGTGAGTTTAGGATTGGAGGAAGTTCTCTTTGAACTCTCTTGGTGATGCTTGTACCGAGGATAGACCTCGTGAACTTCTCACGTTTATTTTTTTAGCATGTTAGCTTGTCGGATATGTAGGGATTAAAAAAAAAAACCTTTTGGGGAGGATCCCCTCTTTTATTTACTTTGGTCAGACATCGCCGATCTATCAGATTTATAATGAACATGTCTGTTGTACCTTTGCCCTGTAGGAGCTATATATTTAGCATTCACCAAGGTTTTTGTTACATGCATCATGTTATCATATTTTGTTCTTTGGAGGTCTTGCCTCTCGTTTTTTCGTGGTAACACAGTTTGTTGTAACCTGAGGAAGCCGGTAACTTTTTGTCTACCTGACTGTATTCAATATTTTGCGAGGTCGTACCTCTTTAGTCTTTTGGAATTAACCTCGTTGAACATTTTTCTGGGAGGTTGTGCCTCCTAACTTATATTGTTATAGTGATTGTCACAAGTTCGAGGCGTCCCTCTTCGTCTTGTGAGGTTATGACCATTATTTTTGTTTGCGAGGTTGTACCTCTTGTTTTGTCAGGTATTGACACTCGTCATTTCCTTATGAGGATGTACCTCTTAATTTGTCAGGTGTTGACTGTCGTCATAACCTCTTACTNGTCAGGTCNTGCCTTTAGATTATCTCGTGGATGCTGCTTNTCACGTTTTTGGGAAGTATTGCCCCCTAGTTGACTGAGTTCTTGACCGTAGTCAAACATCAAATTAAAGATGTTTCTTTTAGTTCTAAGGAAGTTGTGCTTCTAAACACGTGTNTTTGCATAAAAGACCTCGTAAAATTAACATGTCAAAGCTCCTTCATTATAATCCGTGTCTGTAGACATGTTGTGAACAACTCTTTTTTTTTTTTTTTTAGATTCGC